ATTTTTATTTTATGTGTATGAATGTATTGCCTGCATGTATGTAAGTGTACCCATGTCGTGCAATGCCTGCAGAGTTCAGAAGAGGGCGTCGGATCTCCTGGAACTGGAGTTATGGACAGTTGTTAGCCACCATATGGATCCTGGGAACCAAACCCCAGGTCCTCTGCAAAAGCAGTCAGCGCTCTTAACCACTGAGCCATCTCTCCAGCCCCCAATTTATATTTTAATATAAACCCTTCTGTGCCTGTTGCCTAGCATTTAGTATCCACTGGCTTCTAAATTCATTCTCTTTTGGAGACAAGCAGTTGGGACAAACCAGAGAGGTTCTTACAGACCCCACTGGACTCTTGAGAGAGAGAGAGGTGGTCACAGACACTGAGAGAACATATTGCAGATGGCCTGGCCTGACACAACAGCAGACCAGGCCAGGGTCGCCAAAAAGTCACATTGAATGAGAAGCTTTTAGCTGAAGCTGAGAAGTGAAATTGGGAAACAACTCAGCCAACAGCACTTGGACTTCTACTCAATATGTAGACCAGGCTGGCCATCATGATCTCACAGAGACTTGACTGCCTCAGCCTCCTGAGTGAGTACCGAAATTAAAGGTGTGTACCACCATGACCAGCCTATGATTTTTTTTGTCCTTTTTAAAGCAGGGTCTCCCTGTAGCCCCAGCTGTCCTGGAACTCACTATGTAGACCAGGCTGGCCTTGAACTCACAGAGATCCACCTGCCTCTGCCTCCCAAGTGCTGGGACTACAGGCGTGCGCCACCACGCCCGGCTCGGATTTCTCTTTTTTTATTTAAAAAAAAAAAATGTATTTGGGGAAAGGGGGGGAAAAAACCTCTATTGTCCAACTAATCTTCCATGATGCTGGAAAATTGCATTGATTTCCTGAGCAGTCTGGTCTAATTTCCCCTGGGTGGGGGCGAGGCTGAGCTCCCCTCCCTCCTCTCTTCTCTAGCTTGGAAGTTCTGGCTCTACTCAGACAACAGGAGGAGAAAGCAACCCAGAGTTGCCCCACCTGGCCCTGCCTGCCAGCACCCCCAAGCAGCCCGCCTTGAGCAGCCCAGCTCCCGCCCCCATGGGTTGGTGCAGCTGTTCTAGGAGCTTCAGGTTTCCCTGTGATCCCCCACTCTCTTAGCAACCTGAGTTAGCCAAGCAGCTGCCCTTAGCCTTCCCCTGCCCAACCTGGCTCTCGGCAAGTGCCCCTCTGCCTCAAGGCCCACGACAAGCAGATAGAGGCACAGCTGAAAAGCATTGGTATGGCTGCCAGACTGCCAGGGGAGCCATCTGAAGCCAGGGAGCTGCCAAGCCTGAAATGATAGGAAGCCTGGGCCCCAGCCCAGCTTTAGCCTGGGGCCAGCTCTTGCATCCCCATCCCAGTGCCCTGTGTAAGATCCTCTCTGTCTGCCAAAGTCAAGGAGGCCAAGGGTGAGGAGATCGACCCTGAAGCCATACCAGGGAACCAGGGGACAGGAGTGGTCAGCCCCTACTTGACAACTTGCAGCTGAGCTGTGCCCCAGTGGTGGGGCGGGGAAGCTGCTTCCAAATGGCACCCAAGGTAAAGGACTGCCCACCCAAGACTCAGGAATGGATAATGGATATCCATCCACAACTGACCACCCCCCAGCCATTACCTCTCACAAGTGGTAAGTAACCTGGTCTGCCTGATTCCAGAGTTTGAGTCCCAGGCTGCCCCCTAGAAAGTCACCCAAGGTCAGTTCTGGTCCCCAGTCCCCACTGCATAGCCCCAACTTCTCTCCAAGCCCAAGATCCAATGATATCAGCCCGAAAAAGCAGGCTCTGTGTTCATGGCCTGATGCCAGTGTCCTAATCCTGGCTCTGAATGACCATGGCATCCAGGTTTCAACTTCCTATCCATATGGCCTGTGTTGTCTATAACTGGATGGGACGGAGATTGGAGTGTTCTCCCAATCTCCCATTCTTGTCATCCTGAGCAAACCTAGAGGCTTCCCCTTGGCCTGGGTGGTCTTTAGGAAGAAGGTTCTGGTCTGTTTCAGAATTTAGTTGGAAAGGGGACCAAGAGAATGAGGGGACCCAGCCAGCCATGGAAGCTGCTAATCTCTATCTCCCCCACCACCCCCGCCCCCTGCCCCCAGGGGACCATGCTGCCGCCTCCACTGAAAGCAATTTGTCATGCCCTGAATTAAGTGATTCCAACAAGGGTTTAATTTCAGTTTAATGGCTCTGTTTTTATGTGTAATTAAATACCACTGCATGGTGAAAATATGTTGTTTGCACTTTAGAGACTGTGTAAGGGCCTGGGAAGCCAGTCCTTTGGAGTTTCAACTTCCAGGCTCCCCCAACCCCTCCCCCAGCCTGGCTGAGACTGTCCAGGTTTTGGAGGTGAAGGGAATGAGGGAGCTAGAGACCAGAGAGAAGGAGGAGAGGAGGGAGGTGGTCTTGGTGGTGCCTGCATGCCCAGAAGAGTATGTTTCTAATTATCTGCACACTCCCCAACTCTGCCCTCTCACCTTAACTCTCCCCAGCCCCTGGGACCTCAGACATAGAGGGGACAGGTCACTCCACAGTGAGGATCTAATTAGACTCTTGGCTGGCTGAGGTGATGTCTGTCCCCCACGATGGGCGTGGCCAGAGATTGGCTCCATTGTTTCCCCTCCTCTCATCGGCCCACTGTCTCCTCCCATATCTACACCTGCCCCTTCCCTCCCCACCTTCCCGTGAGGACCCAGCACCCCAGCTGCTGCGGGCCTCCCTACTCCTTCCACCCACCACATCCCAACTCTCTTCTAGGTCAGAGGTGATAGTCATAGAGACCTGAAACACAGTGGGAGTTCCTTTTCTTAGGAACATTTTGGCGTAATTTACCACACAGATGTGTGCCCTCTGGGAAGGAGGTGATCAAGTCCTGCATGCCTCATGACTCCTGGAGCAGCTTAGTGGCAGAGGGCTAAGGGGCAGACAGTGGGCTACTCCTGGACAGAGCGGAAGTGGCGGAGGCTGACCCTCAGGACCTTCACAGGCAGTAGGACAGAGGGCTGACCCACTCTCACGGAGTCCAATGCAAGTCAGCCCAAGTCTCTGGTGGCTTTTGTTTCCCTCCCTACCTTCTTGCACTGGAAAATCTAGCCTCCAACCCTCCGCATGTCAGGGCTCGATGTCCACTAACAGCTGAGAAACGGAAACCACATGCCTGGGCACCCATGGGCTAAGGGATCCCCCTGCTCCAAGCCAGTCGAAGGAAATGACATTTCTTGCAGAGGCAGACAGGACTTCAGTTCTCAAGTTCATCCTCAGTTCTCAAGGTACAGCAGCCCCACCAGGACATGAGTTTGGTTCTTGCCATTTCCCAGGCTACCAGAGGTTCTGTGACAACTAAAGAGACCATTCAAGGGTAAAGAGAGACCAGGTTAGAAAGGCCTGGTTCTGAGAATGAGGTGTAAACACACCTAGGACCTGGCCCCAAGGTGATGGGGTCAAGCTACCTAAGAGAGGGGTGTGTACAAAATGTGGAACTCTCCCAAAGCACACAGCTGCTAGCTGATGCTACAGCTCCCCTCAAATCCTACAGTGGGAGCCCCTGGAGTAGAGGTCCACACATTCACAGCCAAGAGGAAAGTACACACTCTGAATGTTACATTCTCTCTGTTGTCACACACACAGCCACACCGGAGGAACACTCAGATTCATATAGCCAGATACCGACCACCCATGCGTGTTCCACCCATACCCACCACATGAGCATGTGCCACCCCTGTAAAATTTCAGGGATCACTGAGTCACAGTACCATCTGAGGGTGGGTGGGTGTTGCTACAGATTGAACCCAGGGCCTGGTGAAAGCTCTTTTTCTTGCTTTTTCTGAGGCTTATGTGAGGAAAGAGACCTCCTACAACCCACTGCCAAAGGGTACAAGGCTAGAATCCTGGGAAGGGGATAGGGAAACGGGTGGGAAGACATGTCTTAAGCAAAGTACTTTCCTATACTTGGCTGAGGGACCTAAAACTTAATCTTCAGGCTACACCACCTCCTACCCCAACATGCCTTGGCCTGGGCCCCAGAAGGAGGGGGCTCTATGAAGAGTAGCCAGGGACTGAGGGAGCAATTCTCTATGTTACTTTGTTCTTTATCTCCTGCTGCTGGCAGCAGCCTGGTGCCTCAGGGAAACCAGATGGCTGCGGGCTGTCCTCTGTCCTGCTGAAGCCAAGCTAAAAACCTGTTAGAGAGTTAGGAGGCTGCAGCCTCAGGTCCTAGGCAGGCAGTCCTGGTATCTTAAGAAGTTGGGAGCCGGTAAAGTCAGAAGTCTAGGAGTGTCTGGAGCTCCAAGGGGACTAGGAGCCCAGGACACAGACAGGAAAGCATGCGCAGTTTCCAGGCTGCCTGTGACCTCCAGGGAAAGGACCTCCACCAGAAACCAGTCCATCACTAAAACAGAGAGAGAGAGACAGACAGACAGAGACAGAGAGAGTGAGAGACTTTCTCATACACAGACATAGCTGTATAGACAGACACCTATGGGAACAGGCAGAGGCACTGGAGGATGGTCATGAACCCATGTGGGAACTTCTGAAGCAGAGGCTAGAGCAAAAGCAAGGGTTCCCACTCTCTTGGTCCCTCAGAATTGAAATCTTGAAGCAAATCCTCTGTCAGGAACCTGGACATCAGAGTTGTGGAACATACTTTCCCCAAGAAGAGAGTGCCCCCTTCTCACCTAAATTAATAAACGAAGTCCAGCTGTGAACTATCCTGCCCAAGGCCCAAGGAAATGTCCCACAGAACTGAGTACCTGATTCAGAAGGCTGTCCTTGGCTACATCTCCCTTCAAAAGCCACAGGGTCCCAACAAGAGTATGAAAGCTCGGACTACAGACAGGGAGTGTCTTGGGAGAGGCCTGAAGAAGTCACATGGGCTTGCTGTTCTCAGCCAGGAAGGCAAGTCTGGGGACCACACAGGGGCCACCTCCCTCCACCCTTATTAATCTCTGTCTCTAAGTGTAAATAAATCAGTCAACCACAATTATCTGGACACTTTTTGGTATTGTTCTGTTTTTTTTAAAAAAAAAATGATGGAAGAATAAAAGAAAAAGAAAAAAAAAAAAGATGCCATAGCCAACCAGCAGGTCCCAAAGTCTCTTCCATCCAGCCAAGCCATAAAATGCTCAGGGGGACAAAGATGGGGGGACAAGAGGTGTAGGGAAGGGAGATACGGGGAGGGATACAGAGCCACACGCAGTGAGCAGCTGAAGAGACAGGGTCATCCTGGTGCCCTCATGACAGTGAACACATCCAGGGTCAAGAATAGGACCCCGGGCAGCAGATTCCTTATCCCTCAGCGTGCAGTTCTTCTCCATCAGACACATTCCATCCAATCTTACATTCTTTCTTCTCTCCTGACTGCTCAAAGAGATGGCCCCACCTCTCTGCCCTCCATCCTGCAGGTCTTCTTCAGTGCATCCTTCCCCCACAGCTTAGACTTAGCTAAGCAACCAAGCAGATGACCCAAAACCCAGACTCAAAGGCTGGCCTGTCCCTCAAGCCTGTCTCCTTGGAGGACCTGGGGAATGAGAACAGGGGACCCCAACAAGCATTAGCTTAGGAGTGGGGCTGGGTCTCAATGAACCCTGAGCCCTCTGCTACTCTATACTTCCTACCCTCTGTCTGACTGGGTTGAGGAGAGGGACAGTGGTCAATGTTCACAACTTTCTTTCTTTCTGACTCTAGAAATGAGCTTTTCTCTTCTTCCAGGCCTTCACTCACCCTACTGGAATAGCTCACATGCCACAATCAGAGGAAGTCAGAATGAGGCTCCCCAGGACTGAAAACTAGAGCTGGCACATAGTATATGGTCAATGTTTTCAGATGACTGAATGAATGAATCCAGGATCAATTCGGAAACATAGTAGTTAGGGCTTTCCATTGCCAGTCTCAGACCTCCTGGGCTATGTAAACCCAAAGAGGGCACTCCAGGCTCCGGCTTACCCTGAGGGCACACTTGTGCCCATAAACACACACACACACACACACACACACACACACACACACACGCACACATACATGGGAAACTTTGGGTAGGACCAGAGGCAGAGAGCCAGGACTCAGACCTAGACTCCACTCCAGGTCAACTCTGCAGCCCCCAGAGCACAGGGGCAGTAGGGGGCACTGAGCATCCCTGCCTACTGGCAGGCCTCACTCTCGGAAGCTGTCAGCCAGTTGGTGGCAGTCCAGCTCCCCCTTGGGCTCTAAGCCTCCTGGAAGCTTCACCCCTGTCT